GGACGGAACGCGCGGCAGTGGGCGACGGCGCGAGCGCGGCAGCGGGCGATGGTGCGAGCGCGGGACCTCGTGAGCGCAGCAACGACGACATCGCGAGTGTGGGCGGAACGCCGGAAACCGGGATGGACTCGATTTTCTGGTCAGTATCGGGTCGATTTTGGGTCAACCCGAACCCGACCAGTTTTTGAAACTGGTCAAAAATATGAACCCGAACTCGACCTGTTTGCTAAACGGGTCAACCCGAACCCGGATTTTTTAGGGTCGGGTCCAGGTCGAGTCAAAAATTGATACCACTACATATAAGTCAAAAACTATCAAATTAATATATTAATAGAAGTGGGTAAAGGGATAGCTCTGACTATGTTCAAATAAGAAAGTCTTCAACAATAAATAAATGAGCTGACAAGGAATTCAAATAGGCTATACAATCTCCTTGGAAGAACTTTCTGCTTTATGTGAACAAATAGAGATAATTGAATGACCGATTGAGCATTCTAGAAATGAATAAATAAAGCAATTAGGAGCATAAAAAACGTAAATACCGAAACCTATGCATTCACCCGCCACCTAAGTAGATAATTGGAACTATGCAGTTAATGGAAACTAACACCTGTCCTTGCTTGTCGCACTTGGACAAAGTCAAGCCAAACAACCATAATAGACATAAACAATTATTATATCTTACTAATCAGTTCATAGAATGTAACACCATTTTTTTTTGGAACAGAATATCCACCCGCTGTTATTTCCGAAAGGGCACTTGGTGGCGTGACTAATCCTCAATTGACCTAGAATGGCCCACACTTGATTGGGCCCCACTTAAGAGGCGTTGCCGCTCGAGGGAAATGAAGCACGGGTTGGGGGTTCCTAATCGTACTCGCCCACTAACCAAGATAAGCAACGGTGGGTATAACATTATTTTTTACTACAAACTATCTGATTGAGTGATATTGCATTAATAATCTATGTACTCGCCCACTAACCAAGATAAGCAACGGTGGGTATAACATTAGTTTCCTTTTCTATACAAGACATTCTTGAAATTTTTAATTTATGGAAGGAATTAAATAAAGCCATAAAAACTTTTTTAAGTTGCACCAAACATTATATCATATAATCATAAAAATCTAATACTAGAAAAAGCATAGTAACCGTGCTCGAACTTGCTGTCAAGAGATGTGCATTCAAAAATGCAACAAAAAGACAAACAAAAACTAAAAAAAAAAATTATATTTTTAAATAAATAGTATAAATGTTAATGCATGGTATATAATATCAAAAAAGTATCAATTCTATTAAATAAGAAATTAAATTTATTTTTCATGTATTGAGTGCTCATGCATTAAATATTGGTGGCACAGCGTAAAATATATAGAAAAGGAAACTTTTTTGGAGGGTTGAAGACTTGATTTTTAGCTAAAAAATTGCAATGTCGAGTTGTATCCACACAATTTAGATATGATAAATGGAGGTTTAGTTACTAACTTACTGTTATATTTATATATAGCAGGGATGCCATTCATAGTGAGGATTAGTTACTGTTATATTTATATATAGCAGTGATGTCATTCATAGTCTATCCTAATCATCTCTATCATCGATAGCCATATCAAATATTGCCATCGCAAGTTGTGTGTAAGCCACCTCTAAGATCATATGGTATATCTTTCTCCACCTTTACATGTCCTTTAACATACGGTAAATTTCCATCTTTCTCTGCAAATATTCTAGCTAGTTTCTATAATTTCATTGTCATAATCCAACATCTATTGGAACATCAACATTCCACCACTTCATTGGAAACTTCTTCAGAAAGGAAAGGATGAAGCAGCCTCTCTTCTTAGCGATTACTAATAAATCTAACA